CATAGTTACTTGAAACCAAAGAAAAGATTGCAATTCTTTAGGTGCCCTTTAGGAGATAGCAGACATTAGCCAGGACATCCTAATCAGGAAATTTTGCAATGAGTAGCCTTATCTGTTAGTCATATTTATACAGATAGTTTTCTGAAATTTACAATGGCACTTTCACAAAAAGCTTTTATGTAGATACTGATCATGTAAATTTTACAATTCTGAGATAATAATAAGCATCTGACATAATCTCTAAAGATACTAAGTAAAAGCAAAGGCAATGTAAACATTGATCCTCCAACTTCAGTATATATAACAAATCTTACGTGGAATCTTAGTGTACATAGAACACTAAGAGATTCTGATTCTGGGCCCATGAATTTATGTTTCTAACAGTCTTTCAGGGGAGATGGATATAAATGGTTAAAGGACCATATTTTGAGTATTTCTGAAATATACAGTGCGCATTCATTCATCTCTGTCTACACACACACACACACACACACACACACACACACACACGACAAGATGAATGTGATAGTAATGGTAAACATTGCATAGAGCCAGGTATTGTTCTAAGTGTCACCAAATATTAGCTTATTTAATCCACATAATAATCGTTCATCATAGGCACGGTTATTAGCCCACAATAAATATATCGGAAACTAGGCACAGGGAAGTTAAGTAACCTGCCCAAGGTTACACATCTACCAAGTGGTAGAACTGAGATTTAAATCCCAGCAGTCTGGCTTAGGAGTCTCTGCTTATAATCATCATATCATACATCTTTCCCAACAGATGAAAAGATATTTACCCAAAATGGCAATAAAGAAATTACCAAAAAGTGTCAGATAGGAATATAAGACAAGTTATGTGTGTGTGTGCATATATAGTATTGAGATATATATATATCAGGGATTTGCAATAATTAAAAGAAAGACTTGGCTTCCTGGATGTACTGTAAAATTGCTTGAAGTAACATGATATTTTTGAACCAAATATCTTCTAATTGTAATGAGGATAAATCTCTTGGGAGGAGTAAAGCCTTCTGAGGTATGAACAGCCTGCCATCGCCCCAAATCATGGGCATTTAATAGCTAGTGGTCAGAAGGTGCTCTTGGTTAGAACATCAACTGTGAACTTGAGAAGACTTTGGGGTCCTGGAGCATTGGATTTTTAGGCATTAGTAAAGTTGGGGTGATGATTTCCCACACGTCATTCTTAGGAGTAAAGAACTTGGCTTTTATTAGTAGAGCTGCCAGGGACTGAAAAACATTGACTAAGATTCTTTGCTTGACCAACCTGTAGACAGGCTCCTGACCTTCTCCTAGGCCTATCCTTGCACTTCCTTGTAAATTCCAGTTTTAACAATAACCCTGCTAAGTCAGTTTACCCAGAATCCCCTCCCCTTGGTATCTGATCACCCTCCATATCTCATCCTCCAGGACCCCCCAGGTGATGTCTGATTACCTGGCCTGTCTTCAGCAAAGAATCTTGTTAGGTTGGTTGAGCCAGAATCCTCCTTACTGCTGCTAGTGCCTCATGGTCATTTTCCATCCACTGACCCTCACCATCCTCCTCGGCTCTGAATTCCCACTGGCCCCTGCTGTATTTAGAGTTGAACCCAAACTCTCTCTGCTCTGTGCACCCAGTTGTAGGGTCCCCTCTGCCTGTCGCAGTGGTCCTGATAAGGTCTGCATTACCATCTTTGACAAGTGTTGATGGATACTTTTATCTTTAACAACATAGGGGGTGTCTTGAGTCTTCTAGGCACAAATTTAAGGCTGGCTGTCCATGGGCAGCATCTGGTTTCCAGAAATTTTTTTTTAAATATGTTTTTTATTGATTTTTAGAGACAGGAAGGGAGAGGGAGGAGGAAGAGAGAGCAACATCGATGATGAGAGAAACATCACTCCTGCACACCCCCTACTTGGGACCGAGCCAGCAACCTGGAATCAAACTGTGACCTCTTGGTGCATTGGTTGACACTCAACCACTGAGCCACACTGGCTGGGCTCAGAAATATTTCATTTGGCTTTTATTACATTTTGTAAATGGAATTGGTTGCCAACACTTAAAAATTTAGGAGTGATCATGTAAAAATCCAGATTTCTTATTTTCTTGAAAAAAATCTGAAGAAATGACAATAGGAGGAAGACAAGAACTGGCTGATGCAGGAGAGGGGCTGAAACAACAGAGCTCTGAAATGTACCATGTTCATTCATTCAAGGCTTTCCCTCGCTCCACACTCCACTTCGTGCCTCTGCAGCTGGCTTTGCTGGCTGCTCTGTGCCTGGAAGTGTTTGCAATTCGCTCCGTATGGTTCACCAGTAGGTAGTTAGTACTTCATGGTGGTACCACATGTTTCTAAGGATACTTCTACAGTCACTGCTCTTAACTATATGAACTTAGAAGAATCTGCGAACTCATAAGGAAAGTGAGAATCATTATGCATCATCTTAAAGGAATATGGGCTGACATAATCTGATTCTTTTTACCAATTCATACAGGCTACATAGAACTCTGATGTTCATGCTTAATTGTGTGCATGCTCTGACTAGATCTGTGAATGTTTTTTTAATTGATGATGTCATTTAAATATATCTCAAGAAAGTATCTCACTCAAATGTAATTAAGTCATTGAAAACTGAAAATGCTGAAATTTTGGAAAATTAGCATTTGGTCAAAGAATGCATGCTATGAGAGAATGGGTCTGTTTTTTTAAAGTAGAAAAAGAAATGGATAAAATGTTTGCTTAAGTACCTGAAAACATAATTTAATATTTGAATTTGTTTTTACTTTGGCTGAATTAAAAAGCAAACAAACAAATAAAATTGAATAAAATGTCTACTGAGGCCAAGTACTTCCGCCTCTAAAGTACAACTTGACTCTGGAAGGGCCTATGGCCTCCACTTCTCTTTTCAGTAAGGAAATCATAATAGTGATTTTTGTTTTACAGACACTGTGTTAGATTACCTTACTCGAAGACTCTTAACTATTTGCTTGGTTTGATTTTAAGACTGTATGCCTTACAGTTTAATTAATACAGTGATTGAAAAGGATTTTCCTTTAAGAGGATAAGATTAAAATAATTTGTTCACCTTGACCTTATGAGGAAAAGGTGAATGCAAACTAAATGAATTACATTGAAAGGATTAAGTTAAAAATTGAACACTTACAGAAGTTTGAGGTGAACTTTTGACTTATTTGGGGTTCATAGGAAAGTTAGGCAGTCATTCAGTGTGTTTTTCTTAAAAAGCAGAAAAAATGCTGTATATGTCTGAATATAATGTGAACCCGAGATATCAGTATTTCTCTATTTTCCCAATGAAAAGTTTTGAATATATAAAACCTCTAGACATGCAGATGAAATGGTCAGATGTCTGCTTACATTTTTTATGTATTAATTTATCTCCTCATATATTTTAAAATCACATATTACATAAAATATTAATTTAGGAATGTTACTTTCCCCCACCCTTACAGTTCATTAATTAATTATTATAATTCTTCACATGTGATCGGTCGTGAGCATCTTCCATCAAAGTAAAGACAAACTCATCACTGTTTTTTGAGTCATCTCACCCAGTGTTGCAGCACATTTCACTTCTGCCTAAACTTTTTTGAGACTCGATGCTTTTTAAAAATTTTTATTGATTTCAGAGAGGAAGGGAGAGGGAGAGAGAGAGATAGAAACATCAATGATGAGAGAGAATTACTGGTCAGTTGCCTCCTGCACGCCTCATACTGGGGATTGAGCCCGCAACCCGGGCATATGCCTTGACTGGGACTCGAACCATGGCCTCCTGGTTCATAGGTCAATGCTCAACTACTGAGCCACGCCGGCCGGGAAGACTTAGTGCTTTTTGTGATTCAAATATGATTCAGTCACTGTAAACTGCATGCCAAATTACATACACATAATAACGGAACAAAATAGGGGGGGTGCTTAACAATTTTTTCCTTTAGGTGAGTACTTTTGATCTCCAGCATGCCACACCCACAGTAGTGTTCTTTTCAGTTATCTTAATAGGCTTTTGCAAATCATATCCAACGTTTGCAATTTTACGAAATAGGTATTACATCTGTTTGGAATTTTTGTTTAAAAAACAGATTTTGTAGATTATTTCTATTGACATTTAAAACTAGTAATGATGGAGGGATTTTTTCACCTAATGTGTTTTCTCCAAGCAAACTTCTGTTTTACATAATAAAGTAATACAGAGATTTAGATAAGGATTTGACTATGAGGTGACTCACTCTTTCTTGAGAAATATTCTAGGGGAAAGAAAAAAAATCTGCCTCATGTTTGAGCATATATGATTCTTCTCCCTTTCAAGGTTGGTCCTTAAAGTTTCACTAAAGTGCAATAGAATGTAAAAAAGTAGGTAACCCAGATGATTTAAGGGCAAGTCAAGGTGGTATTATTAATTTCATGAGGCTTCTTATCCTACTGTATATTACCATCATTAAAATATCAATTTCTTAAATATCTCTATAGCAAAGATAGCGAGTGAGTAGATAAAAGGATAATACTGTGTGTTAGACATTTCTATGATGGTTTTCATAGTTAGGTGGATTTTTATTAGGAGGTTGTAGTTCATTTGGCAGAAGATGTTGTCCTCATCATTTCCTGATGGCCATGAACTACAGAAGATGAGAACAGCTGGTGTATTTATAACGAAGAGTGAGAAGGGATATGATAGAGCTTGGATATATGAGAGGATTTAGAAGTATAATGGTTAGTGTTTTCTGTCTTAGCTATTCAATAAAATGCCTACTTTTAAGAATTTAAGAAAATTAAAGTGTCAAATATTATCACTTTCATATCACATATGAAAAACTCTATTATTCTAACATTTTGCAGGAAAGGGTAACTTACTTTTACTTTAGGGTTTCCAGTTTCATATTAAAAGATGTTTATGTCATTAATTTACCAAAAAAATGTGATATATTAGCAATAAATTATACCAATGAAAATCATGATCATTATCACTTTTATCTCTTAACAGTGGAAAGAGTGGAACGAGAAAACCTTTCAGACTATTGTGTTCTGGGCCAGCGTCCAATGCATTTACCAAATATGAATCAGCTGGCATCCTTGGGGAAAACCAACGAACAGTCTCCTCATAGCCAAATCCACCACAGCACTCCAGTCCGAAACCAAGTGCCCGCGTTACAGCCCATCATGAGCCCGGGGCTTCTCTCTCCCCAGCTTAGTCCACAGCTTGTCAGGCAGCAAATAGCCATGGCCCATCTGATAAACCAACAGATTGCTGTGAGCCGCCTCCTGGCTCACCAGCACCCTCAAGCCATCAACCAGCAGTTCCTGAACCATCCGCCCATTCCCAGAGCAGTTAAGCCAGAGCCAACCAACTCTTCTGTGGAAGTCTCTCCCGATATCTACCAGCAAGTCAGAGATGAGCTGAAGAGGGCCAGCGTGTCCCAAGCTGTCTTTGCAAGAGTGGCATTCAACCGCACACAGGTACAATTAGCACTGAGCCGGGTAACCGGTGGTGGTTAAGAATAATACTAGGGATGGCGTTGTGACACATTTTCTTTTTTATCTCTTAAAAAACTTTTATGGCTCTCAGAGCACATAGATTTAGATGAATGAATACTGCTTAGTTTATGAACTACTTCGAGATTCGTCCATGCATAGTTATAACTAATTAGTCAATTTCAGCAACACAATGAACATAACTGAACTCACCAACTCAGGACCCCAAATATGACCAGTGACTTGGTCTGTGTGCTCCTCTCCTCCCTCATCTTCTCATCTACCTTTTCCTCAGATGTAACCCTGACCTTGAGTTTTGTGGTTGTCATTACCTTGTCTTTTTAAAAAGTAATTTTAAAACTACTAATGCATGCCCAATCTATTTGGTTTTGAACTTTATAAAAAAAGTATCATCATTATGTTATAATTTCTTTAATTAATTCATAAACTCTTCAAAATACACAAGTTAGATTTAAGATGTGGATAAAGTGGCAATGGCTAATTTATTCATTTTATAATGTTCTAAGGTAACTATAAAGGGTCAAAAGATAAACAGTTTATTTATATATGTCTTCTTTATGGAGGGGTGCTTTTAAGTAAGACATTCTTTTCCGTCAGTGTGTGCAGATGCTTCAGCATCGCCCGAAGGCTGTTAAAACACAGATTGTGTGGCCTCCTAGTTGCTGATTCAATAGGTCTGGGCGTGGGACCCAGACATTTGCGTTTCTAGTAAGGTGATGCTGATGCTGCTGGTCTGAGGACCACCCTTTGAGAGCCACTAATCTAACCCTTGTTTGAGTAACAAAGTAAAAAGTGTTCATCTCAAGGAACTAAGGACCTTGTAGTGAGAAATAATTGAGCCCAAATAATAAACGTAAAACACGAAGTGCGGTGAATAGTATAGGAGAGAGGAAGCAGTGGTTGCAGGGGTTGTTCGTGGGGAGGTGGGAATAAGGAATACTTACAGTAGAATGAACATGCTAAGTCTTTACAAGGGCAGTGGGTTTAAGTTAGGCAGGAATCTAAGCTCTGTGCAAATAAAAAAGATCATGGGCCAGCACATATGTAAATAACTGACTTGAGTATGTTGGGGAGTTAGACCTTGAAGGATAGGTAAAATTTAACAGGCAAAGAAGTAGAAGAAGAATATTCCAGGCTAAAGGAATTCATGAGAAAAGTGTTGAGTCAAAAATATAAGAATAGTTGGTACTTGATAGCAAAGTTAGATAGTAAGACTTTGATCTGGAGGGAACTGATCAAAAAAGGTCTTTGGGCCATGCTAAGAACTTTGAACTTTATTTCATAGGCACATGGTAAGTCTTTACGAGGCACATGGTAAGTCATAGGCACGTGGAAGCCATTGACGATTTTATGTGGGAATGTGCTATGATCCAATAATTAGAATTGGGTGACTTAGGAAGATTTCTTTTTCCCTCATGATAGCAAGGGGGTAGGACTATCATTTATAAGGCTGCCATCGTGTCTAGCTGAAATGAGTAGAAGTTTTCAACTAGGTTGATGGTGATGGAGTGGTCGAGAAGCATTGCAGAAGTAACATTGACAGAAAATGCAGCTACTTGACTGGGTAAAGAGGAAAGAACTAAAGATAATGCCAAGGGGTGAGCCTGGTGATTGAGAATAAAGCTGTAATTAGAGAATCAAGGAGGATATTGAAAGAGATGTTTTGGATTGGGCTGTTTTGACTTGGAGGTGCAGGCAGATTTCCTAAGTGAAGATGTGTTGCCGTCGTTAAAAATAGGAGGTTGATGCTAAAAAGAGTGGTCAGGGTTAGAGAACGAGATTTGAAATTTATTTACAAAGCCTGGGATTTAGAGAGTCAGGGGAATGAGTTGAAGAAACCATCACCACCACTCCTACGAAGAAGAGACAAGAAATGCCAGGAGAGCCAGGGTTAGGTTAGAGATGGAAGAATGGGGAAATGGTAGTGAGATGGATGGAAGACGTGAGTCAGGTTTCCAGGAGACTTCATTGTGGATGGAAACCAAAGAAGTCTGGGAGGGAGAAACTTGAAACCGTGCCATGAAATTGGGTGATTGGTTGGTAGAGATCTTTGCAAACTTTAAAGTATAATTTCATTAGAGTGGTGAAGGCAGGAGCCAGAATTTAGGAGTTAAGGAGTGATGAACTGTTGAGGATACAGAAGCAGGGGCTGCAAATTACTGTTTCCAAAATTTGGTGTTGAAAGGGAGGCCAGAAGTAGGTTGACAGTTTGAATGGGATAGGGAGTCAGTGTGAGATAGAAGGATTTGTGAGGGAGTTGGAGGCCTCGGCTGAAGTTCACCAGCATGCACTAGTGCTAGAAGCAACCGCTGTGGCTTGCTCAGTCTTCAGCAATGCCGGCCTCCAGGAGCGGGAGCAGGGAAGAGACACGTGCGGCTGCTTGAGGTTGGGTGCTGACGGATTAAGTATGGCAGGAGACCCAGGGAGGTGAAGTTTCTTGCTCCCTTGACTCTTAACAAATTTATACATTCTGTTATTGATGGAGTCTGTTTACATCATTTGAAAGTGAGTCTTGACGTTCACAGAGGTCTGCGCATGTTCCAAACATCACTCCATCACGTTTCTCTTGTGACTCCGGGTCCTCAGGCAGCCTTTGTGATTATGAGAAGCTCTGGTCCTTTTGAGCGAGTCTGTTGGGCGCTGCTGTAAAATACAAAGTGGAAAGATGCATCTTTCAGTCTGCATGTGCAGCTCTGTGTGTGTGCGTGTGTGTGCGCGTGTGCGCGCGCGAGTTCTTTCATCTATCATTCATGCCCATGAATAGGCATTTCATGGTTAGCCAACATTTTATTGCCTGGTTCTATATACAGCTCCTTTGGCAAAGGACACAATTGAAAGCATGGTTGTATTACTTCAGATTTAAAACCAAATACAGTATACCTTTTGTCCAAGTAGCACGAAGCCCAAGAGAAGACGCACAATGAGGCTAGACAAAAGCCAGGCCGGCCGGTGTGAGGGAACCCCCAGCCAGGGCCGAGACTCCGGGAGGTCTGTCTTCGGCGGCACAGTCCTTTTTGTCTATTTTTATGGATTAATGATTTTTCTTTGGCATTGCCATCTTTCAAGTGCCAAGTTATAAAAGGTCTAATTGAAGCATGGAACACATTTTCTTTTTTTCCTCCTGCCATTAAATTTGTGAGATGGCTACACCCAGAAAGGAACATTCACTTTCAATCAACATGAGCTGGGGTTCATGGGCCAGCCTTGAGGATATCAAATGGAAACTGCCTAGGAATGTATGAGTATTTCCTTTTAAAATTCTGCTTTTAATTTGGGAAAGCTTTTCATCCCTCTGGGATCATAACCTGTTGTGTATAAAGCCCAACCTAATCAAGGTAGATGGTATTGACAGAATGACATAGTCTGAACTCAAGCCGGAGGTCAGCAGGCAGATTGTTTTTGCTGTTTGCACGGAGTCACCAGCAGCGAGGCTGGACAGCTGGGCTTCCCCAGCAGCCTTGTTATGTGGAAAATAGGGGGTTCGATGCCCTATGAAACCAACCATGCACTTTCCAAGCGGGAGGCTTTTTTTGAGTGGAATCAGACGTTTATGGGTGATATAATAATTTGCCAGCTATAATAAGCAAATAAAAATTAACTTTTATAGATGATGACATAAAAGAATTGTTACTCTTTGGACAGAAAAGAATCTCAACTCCCCCTCCCCCCCAAAGCAAACAGAATCAGAACCGTTGTTTTTGATGGACACCTAGGGCCGTATCAGTCCTGCACTCAGTTGCTTTACTGATACGTAGCGTATCCTCAGTCCACTGAGTATTTTCCAGAAATAGTTGGTGATGTCCATTATTCATTTATTATCAAATTAAATGAAAAGCAATTTTTCAGCCTACAGTTTATGTACCTGGACTTGTGCCTGACGATTAGACCAAGAACAAATCTAGTGTGTGTGTGTGTGTGTGTGTGTGTGTGTGTGTGTGTGTAACAAAATCACATGCACAGCATTCGTAAATGATGCTGGACTTGTGAATGTACATCAGAATAGCTTTTCATGTTTAAGACTCTCAGATGAAAAACTCAAAGGATCCTGCTCAGGCCACTGCATTTTGCCTGCTCCCACCGGCAAGGTGCTGGCAATGCCAACCCGAGGCCTGCTGGGTGGAGGAGGACGAAGCCCAGCTCCCGTGCCTGCTGTCGCAGGGCCACTCTGAGGAGTGACTCCCACCCCAGAGCCCTTTCTCTCTGCAGGATCGGCTGAGGCTGGGACCTTGCTTGGGTTTCTCCCCTCCCGTGTCCTGCTCCTCCTAGTCCCTCACCGATTACCCTCAGAAGCACTTCCTTAATGAGTCCCAGGTGATAGATCAATGCCATTGCCAGCCTAGTGGACATTTGGTTATGCCATGGGTTAGAAGTTTGAATGAAACCTACCTTCCATTTTAGCCTACTACCTTCCCAAATCTAAAGCAAGATGTTATTGTTATTTTAAACTGAGTCCCCTGAACTCAGTGGACTGATATTGATGTCAGATTTACTTATGGTATTAGATATTGGGGGTTGAGAGAGAGAGAGAATGTGAGTCAGATACACATTAGTTTTGAGTTCCTATGAGATCTTCCAAATTTGACTTAAATGAAAGCCATTCTTCCTGAGTCTGCGTGGTGAGTTATGTGATTTCTGTGAGTTTCAGAGTCACTCTGCTCCTTGGCCCGCCCCTTCTCCACGGCTCTGTCGGGGATGCAGGACCAAAAATTTCGAGAAGCAGTAGGACCAGTGCTCTGTCAGGTGTTCTTTCCATATGTATTTCCCCTTGCCTATATCCTGAGTTTACTTTAGTGCTGGCATACCTTTGCTTTCTGGAGCTACGGACATGGAATAAGTTGCTTAGCTACTTACTGTGCTTACATCTTTCCCTTTTGACAGTTTGATTATGAATCCTAACCTCATGTATTCTTTTGCCCCTTCTCACTTTATGGACTTAAAACATTAGTCAGAGGCTTATGACAGTA